ATATATCTGATCACATCAAACGAGCAAAGTTATGCATACAAAAGTAAAATGCACCTTCACATACTAATATGGACTATAATGAGATCCAAAAAAAAAGAAAAAATAACACGTCAAAATGACAAAGAAAAAAATTATAACGTTGACTTTAAAATGTAGCAGCAAATCACAGCCCATGCAGCCCGGCTCCGACACTCCAGAACTCTGAGCAAATCTGTCTGAATGGGATGCAGTAAGAATAGAAGCACTCTAACCAGATGCGGTGTTTTAAAATTTTGATATCGACGAACTCTAAGCAGTGGTGTTCAGTTCTGATATCATAGAAACATACTCCCCGTCGGCCCACCTGAAGAATTTGTAGTCCTCCTGTCGTTGTGCCCACTACGGGCACCTGTAAAATTGCCTCATGAAGCTATGTGTCTGGCGTGACGTGAGTAGCAAGGACGGTAGCCCGCACCGACACATCACTTTCTCGGACTTCCCTGAATATCTGGAATTCATCATCCTGCAATTATTAAAAATAGAATAGATCAGTCTAAAAAATTGAGGAAATAAAAAAATTATACTTACCGAAGTATGGAGACAGCGGTTGCCGACAACAAATTTATGTTGTAAAGAAAGAGATCTCCTAAAAGGATCCTTTTAATCCAATTTTTTGTAGGTTCAACAGACATCCTGTAAATTAGTATTTACAGGTTATAGATTGCTTCCTAACCAGGGGAAATAGACTTCCTGTTATCCGGAAGCAGGAAATCTTTGAGGAAATAAAACATCTGGATAATCCTAACAAGCATAAAGTAATAATCCCAACAAGCATAAAGTAAGGAGTCATGAGCCTCCATAGCTAATTATATGAGCACCGAAAGCTAACTCCAAAAAATGCCACCAAAGTATTTGAGTAGAATAAGAAGGGAAGCAAAAACATCCAGCAAACCCAAACTACAGTTTAAACCACAAGCAAACCTCCAACTTATAGACCATATTGCCAATCACAACAGAATGAGAAAATTTCCCTGTGATGTGTTCCAAATTCATCGATTATAAAATTTTTTAGAATATCAGTGTAAAGCAAAATCATCCAAAGCAGCCCATAATCAAAAGACTTGATAGGAAGCCTGTTAGACAAACCCCACAATAGACCTTCCATCATCCTCAATAATCATATGCAAGCAAAGCAATTCAAGCACCCATCTTCTATAACTCGCAGCAAATATCATATTGCTATCGAAGGGATACCAACTAGTGTAATTCATAAGGATGTTAATAAGCTGCATATGAAAATTTGCCAACTGCCAAACCAAAACCAAAAGTTGGAGCCTTGGGCCTCCAGCCATAATCTTAGACAAAACCCACAAAAATGACATTCCATTTTCCTTTGGATCCATATACACATATCACAAATTCAGACCCCACCAAAGTAAAGGAGGATCAAGCCCCCAAATGTCGTTACTTGAAACAAAAATCACAGACATAGCAAGGGGATGCCAACTGGTAAAAAGTTGCATATGAAGTTTTTCCAATTGCCTAACCGAAACCAAATGTTAAAGCCATGGGCCTCCAACCTTAATCATAGTACTCAAAATAATGGAGCCATGGGCCTCCAAAATTATCCAAGAGCAATAAAAGGTTACAGGTTTCACAACTTAACATTTCCTTTCTAAGTAAAATTAGCATTTGCCAAATAAAGTTTCAAGTATCAAGTGAAAATTAAATGGATATGGGGCATAAGTTACAGATCAAAGAAACGTTAATCCCGCTGAAGTTGGGATGCACCCAACGTTACATCTCATTCAATAATATCTTCTCCAAGCTCAAAGTTACAGATTTACATATCCATGATATCTAAAAGCAATATATAAACTGATATAAGTGTTTGGCCAAAATATGGAGAACCTAGGAAACCGGGCTTAGCATACAAACGAAACTGACTCCAATGTCAGGATCCCCATTTCAAATGCTTGGCCAATATATGGAGAACCCAGGAAACCAATAGAAGGAACTACATTCAAGCCATTTCATACCACACAACCTCCAACATCGGAAATTACATTCAAGCCATTTTAGATATCAATAAATGAGAATTATCCATATACATATAACCATAACAAATCGGGTCATTTCATATCACACAAACTCCAACATGGCAATTGCATTAGAGTTCATGATGCCAATACAAAAAAATGAATATAGCTATTAAAAATATCCATATGCAGCACAACAACGAGCTTGAATTATTCTCATATGCAGATAACCAAAATGCTTCAACTGTTGAAATATGTAGATAAAATACATAGCGCTTCAACTGTTGAAACTTGAATGTTCAAACTCAATAACTCCTTAACAATTCCCATTGTTAAAATGCTTAAAAGATAAAAATTCCCAAAATCCAAATACCATAGTAATGAAGACATAAAATAAAATTCACGATTGAACAGATAAAAATTCCCAAAATCCTTAACGAAGTGTTTCTTCATGGCACCATTAAAAACCAATTCAATGTTAAAGCTAACCTTACTAACACCAATATATAAAAATCTCATCTGCCCAAGCATGTCTACCAGCCATACATCAAGATAAAAAAGATCTAACACCTAAACTTCAGAGATAACAGAAATAAAAACTAATCCTCTTATCTTATGCATAAAAGACAACAAACGTCTAGATGTAAAAGCTAATGTCATTAATTATTTGCTCTCTCAAAGCTTCCATCTCTGAAGCACCTTCTCCATCTGGTGTGTGTGATTCTATTGAATCAAATTTGACTTATGTGATGGTATGTCCAGCATGGTATTCAAATGCCTCAGGTGTTATCTGCAATAAATCTTCTTCTATAACGATAACTTCTGCATCTGTTCTGGAGTGATGTCGTCGAATGAAGTTGTGTACAATCTGGACTTATTTTGGAAATGGATAAGATGACATTTCACGTAAAATAACTCATTTCTTCTTCCAAACCCGAATGATCTCTCGATCACACCACGCAAGGATGAATGCCTTTTGTTAAATATTTCTTTCTTGCCTCGTGCAACTCCGCTCGATCTCTCAAAATCAGGTATATGATATTTTGTATCTAGATATGGTTTCAAATAACCCCTTTGTAAAGGGTACCCGACATCGACCAAATAGCACTTCCCTATGTAACATGTTTCTAGTATTTAGAAATTTTATAGAAATTGGGATGATCAATAGTAAAACACAAATGTTATATCTTGAGGTGGATAAAGGAAACCATATTTTTTGTTGTTAGTACAAACTTGAAAACACGACTGTCGTATGTGCTACCTTCCCAACCAGTCATCACATAGGTAAAACACATGTTGAAATCACAAATAGCCATTACATTTTTTGTTAGGGATTCGCACCTACCAATGTATGCAACTTTCTCTGTGCTAGAAATACGTGCATCAACATGTGTTCCGTCAATACCTCTGATGCAATCCTGTGATGGACGATTCTATCAATAACAAAATCATGTGTAAAATTGTAGTAATTAAAATTTAAATTGGGAATGCACCTTTAAAAATGACATATATCGAGGATCATTTGCAACATGTGTGAGGATGGACTGGAATGTTGGGCCCTCTGGCTTAACGATTTCACGTGTCAGACTCACAAGCGCATTCAACCCAACTGAGAAATATCCACTTATGATTTCTGAGGAATGTTGAAATCATTCCATAGTTCCTCTAATGAATTCATTCTGAGATAAAATGTAAAGTGTTATTGCTATGGAGGGTCCGAAGTTCATTTAGGAGGTCAAGGAAAATTACTTTTGTCATACGAAATATATTTGCAAAACGTGTCGGGTGACCACATAATAACTCTCTGATCCATCTATCTCCAATATTGTTGGACGTCATGCATGGGTTTCGATCAACATATGTGTTGTACTAATGGTATAACAACGTAAGGGTGAGAGCAACAATGCAGATTTGATTAATTTGTGCTTCATCCATAATAAAAAATCTGAAAAATGATAGATTTTAAAAGAATATAATAAAGAACATGTGACAATGCCAACAATACGTAGACTGCATATTCAAAACATAAAAAATACAACACGTTAAACGAGTCCATTACAGTAACACAACATAAGACATAAATATATAGAAGTCCATCAAATAAATAGTCAATGTAACCCAATAGTAGTAATGAAGTTATAATAATGACTTTCAATATTTAATAAAAGAACGCAAATATAAATATGGAAAACGAAATTATAGGTCCAAAGTCTAAAAAGAACTGTCTGCGGGTAGAGTTCCCTAGCACCTTGACATACTTAACATACATAGCTTGGTCTTCCTTAATACCAGGATATGTGATAAGGATCTTAACACACTCCTGAAAAGTGTTGTCCTTAGCCGACTTGGAGTTATTTTTGCAAGTTTCAATCAAGGTCTCAATAGAACTTCTAACAAATGCAAAGCCTTTTTAATTTTTGTAAGGTCGGGGACGCTTTGTTCCACCAGTGGATTGGATATCTGTCGAGATTTGGCTGGGACCTTCTCCTGAGTCACCCATATGCTCCGTCTCTATATCCTGTGCTAAGTTTGAGAAGCCCTGCTAATTTGGGTGAAAAAATGAGCTCATGTTGCTACAACGCCAGTAAACATACCATCCAACTTATCCTCCAAAGTTGGTTCAATGCCAGTAAATTTGAATTTTTTTGTCGTCGGCACTGCCTATAACAACAAGAAAAATGTAATCAATATTCAAAACATTTGAATCTGAAAATATGTTGAAGTAGTGATGTAATTTCCTCTAACTTTTTCGCCCACCATTCTTCAGGTGCGTCAATTGTTCGTTTTAGCGAATCTCATTCCAATCCAGTTGATCCCCTTTTGAGTTCTTTCCATAGTTTCCA